TCATTGATGAGACCCATGTTAGAAAGATGATGATTTCCCTGCTTATAATTTTTATTTTTATTTTTTATTTTAAAATAATAATTTTTTTATTTTTAAATTATTTTAATAGATTAATATTAAAAATAATTTTTTAAAAATATTTTAACAAATAATTACAACTAGATTCCAACCACTATACAAAAACAAATAATTACAACTAGATTCCAACCACGATACAAACTTCTTAGCACATTTGGTCACATTGTCGTTGAAAGAGAAGGTGGAGTGGGACAGTAGCGACCTGAATTGACGGAATCATCATGGATTTGGAATCCAAAACCATAAACAAGAGAGGATCCTTTTTGAGGAATTTAGGTTTGATGATTGCCAATGCCTAGCATTGTAAACTCAATCACTGTTGACTCCTGTGTGCTTTTGATATTACAATGAATGCCGTTGGCTGCGTCTTTTTCCAGGTTTTCGTTTCTGTTCTTCAGTTTTTGCGTGTCTTGAATTATCTTCAAGATGGTAGGGACGAAGCTTGTGCAGAGAGGAGGGGTAATTGCCTCCTTGTTTATTTTTGTTTTTTTCTCACGCATCCCTTCTAGTCTTTCACTGTGTTTTTTCCTGTGCGGTGTTGCGAGGAAATTCTCAAAATCAGTTTTTATTTAATTTCTCGGTGATAAGAAAAATCAATGGTTTGACTTCTCAAGTAAAAAAATATATTTTCTTCCATCAAAATTCTCTGTTTTTATTTATACAAAATAGAGAATTTTGATATAAAAATCACTAATAAATGTATGTTTTTCTCATTAAATATTCATGCATTTTAAAAAAAAAATATTGTGCATGTTATATATATATATAAGCAAAAGGAAATCCAAATTTATTTTTAAAAACATGAGACATGACTTTTAAGCGCTTGTAGTGATTATTTATTTAAAAATAATTTTATTTTAAGTTTGTAAAAGTTATATAAACAAAGAAGAGAAAGGAGGTTAGATGCGCAAGGCCTGAAGTGTACACCTAACCTTTGAGGCCATGCGCAGCTAGTTTTATATTGTTTACTTAAGTTATTTAGATTAATATAGGTGTTTGTGCTAACTAACTAGCATGTATTTTAATTGATATCATGGGTTTTAAAATAAATAATGATATAAATTTTTATTAATCTTAAAATTTAAAAAATTCAAACAGGTGATCTTTAGAAAATAAATTCATGATATATTTAATTAAATTACACCTCTTAAAATTATTTTTTTTTTTTAAATGAATAACATGTTATTTGCTTGAACTTGTGATTTTTCGATGGTGAAATTTAGATTTTAGATAATTGGATCCAAATCTAATTAAATTACACCTCTTAAAATTATTTATTTTTTTTAAAATGAATAACATGTTATTTGCTTGAACCGGTGATTTTTCGATGGTGAAATTTAAATTTTAGATAATTGGATCCAAACCTTATTAAATTCAAATTATTTTCATCTAAACTCATTTAAAACCTTATATGAATTTTAATAACCTCATTTATAATTTTAAAAAATCATTTAATTGATCAAACTGCCAAAAAAAATCTTTCCAAGCACATATTTATTTTTAAGATAATTTTTATTGTTAGAAAGTGGCTAATGAAAAACCTTTTATATCCTTTTTATTTCCAGCGACCTTCTATTTTCTCTTTTAATACCTAGTGATGTAAATGTATTAAAAATAAAGTTTATGAATATAACATAAATATATAAAACTACAAGGATCAAATGAATAAACAATAAAAAATCAAAGGGCCAAGTTGTATTTTTATGCATCTAAAAAACAATAACTTATATACTAATTTACTGTGGCAATCTGTATATGACTATAGTACTGTGATAAACAATAAAAACATGGTGCCTTTTAATTTACTAAACATTGTCAACAAAATAATTCTAAAATATTTTAGAACAATTCATTTATAGGTTTGCTCAAACCTCTCCCCACGAAGGCAAGGAAAATCCCAAATCTATCAAGTCATGAAAATAAGGGGCATTACATGTTAAGAGTTCCATGGCCCCTTAATTTTTCCTGAAAACTAAATTTCATCATCACTTTATTAGTTTTCAATTAAAAACCCATATAAAAAGTACTTATTACACTTGTGACCCATTTATTCTACTTTATTTTCACTGTTAGCCTTGCATGCTCCTCGCAATACCCACAATCATTTTATCCCTAGCTCCACCACTGACACCATGATGTCTCTCTCACACACAAACTTCTTTTTTTGTTTTTTTCCAATGGTTATCAATAAAGTATTTATTGACAAAGGAATTAACTGGCACTTTGCAACCGGACCCCTCATGTATACACACATGCACGCTTCACTGCACATGTACATTCATTCTTTATTATTAATAGTGTTTTCTTTTTCACATCAATTAATTTGGGAATTAGTGTCTTCAACAGTCACTAAATATTCTTACAATAATTTAGAAGGCTGTGCCAGTAAGCCTTGGCCCACAGAACCGAACCACATGGTCCACTTTTTCGGTTAAGGGAAAGAATGGCTGCAGGCAGGGTGTGGAACGGAACAATTAAACAAGCTGGGAGGTCAAGGTATCATATTTTTACCCTGTTTGGAAATATAGTTATAATTATTTTTTTAAAAAAATATTTATTTAAAAATATATTAAAATAATATTTTTTAAAAAAATAATACATCAAAATAATTTAAAAATATAAATAGTGTTAATTTAAAATAAAAAAAATTAAAATTTTTCAAAACACAAAAACAATCATTTACCTGCAAATTCCATAAATAAAAAATGCAGAAGAAGGTTGGGTACAGCGAAGCCGGTGTTTATGTTGGCCCCGGGCAAATATCTGTAGGATATCGACATGTATAGTATTACAAAGGATAACTACATATCAGTCCCCAGGTTATATAGATTGTAACGAACCAGTCACAATTCTTTTTTATTTTATGGCCCGGAACGAATCAATGTTACTACAGCCTTAAAGTTTTTCTGCGTCTATTTGTAGGCAATGTAGGTGTTGTGCTGGGATTTATAAACATCATTTTCTTTCCTGAGCTAGTTTACATACAAACTGAGATTAATTTCTCATTTTCGTCTTGTCTCCATGAACATTTAATATATCTCTTGGATGCTGATTTTAAAATTTAAATCTAAAAAATAATAAAATGAAACAAACTTCTTTAATTATTAAACCAAACACTTGAGATTAACATTACATCAGACTGGAAAATCTTTGTCGCAAATAGCATTTGATACACAAATTTAAAAATAATTTACGTAACATATATCATTTTTATATTAAGTTTTTGAAGATATGTTTATTTGAAATTGAAAATAGGCTTCATTTTGAACAATGAAAAGTGTAGATCTTATTTAGAAAAAGACAACTTACAGATCTTAAGAATCTCTTCTTCTTTTTTTTCCTTTTCTTTTTAAGAATTCATGAAAATAAATTTTATTTTTAAGCTAAATGTGTGGTTGACTGAGAAAACACTTATATATTTTATTAAAAATAAATAATTAAAAATTTAGTTTTATGATATTTTTAATTTGTTTTTTTACTGAGTAACTCTTAATATGGGTTATGAGTTTTAAAATTTAGCATGAGTTGAATTTAATTATTGTTATTGTTATTATTATTTTATTTTTTAATATTTAGTCTATTTGTGATATGACTTCATTTTTGTTTTTATATTCCTCTTTATTAGTTTATTCTAATTTCATTTTTTGACTTATGAATTTCACAGAGTAACTCAAGTTGACTTGATTATTTTTTTAAATTATTTTTTATTTTTATTTTTTAAAAAAATATCCTTCAATATTAAGTGAGTTTAAAAATTAAAATTAATAATTTTACTTGATTTGCTTTCTTCAGACTTACTTTGTTTTCGTGACCATGTTATTAATTTAGCTGTTTGATTTTAAAATAAATATTTAAAAACAAATCTTAATATTTAACATTTAATTTCATAGGTATTGGTCTTATGGAGTTTTTTATAGTTTTTTTTTTACGATGTTATTCCATTTTCATTTTATTTTTTCTTTGTTATTAAAGAAGATTATATAGACCTTTTAAGAATATTAGGAGTATTTTTTCATGACATTACCAAGCATTTATTTTTTTCAATTAATCACTATAAATTTATTTGTTTAGTTCAGTGTATTTAACATCACTATTATTTTTTAATTATATTATAATTTAATTGGTCTCATTGAATTCAGTTGAGTTAATTACTTGAATTTTATATTTTTTTTCACTTAAAAAAAAACATTAGAGTGGCATTATCATCTTTTTGATGATAGAAAAGAATCAGTGTTGCCCACAAAGGAGCGCGAGGTACCACTTTATCAAAACAATGTTCGAGATCATATTAAAAATTATTTTTAATTTTGAAATATATTAAAATAATATTTTTTTTATTTTTTAAAATTTAATTTTGATACTAGAACATTACAGTAATTTAAAAATACTAAAAAATTAATTAAAAAACAATTTAATTTTTTTTAAAAACAAGTTGGATAGAAAAATCAAACACAACGAGAATACCACAAACTGCTCCTTCATTCCTTCTCCGAATAATTCGAATATGCTAGCAAGACCTTGTTTATTAATAAGTAATAGCAGCCAATAAGATGATCTGCGCACGTATTTTTTCAATAACAATAGACTACGGGTAAAATTACGAGACATCTAATTACACGATTAATGTTAAAATTACTCTCGGATTCATCAATATAATATCATATAGCTTTCTAGTAATTTCCTTCTGTGAAACAACGTCAACGTTATTGGTGGCAAGATTTTTAACGCCAAAACAATGGGGACGTTAACTGGGGTGAAAATGTGCTAGGAAGCAACTTTGGGGAAAAAATAGCAAAGTTTTGAAGACTGAAGGCTGATTTGTGAATGTCTATATATACTGGGACTGATCTGTAGTTTTCCCATTATAATAGAGAGAGAAAGTGGCTGATACAGAAAAAAAAGGGTTGGTCTATGATCCTGAAGATTTTCATTGGACAACCTTGCCTACTATCGTCGTGGGTGTCCACTAGCAGCTTTTTTTGTCTTCTCCTTTTCCCTTCTTCTCCTTCTTAATTTTATCATCTCTCCTTCTCTATGTATTGATGCTATATATTATTCTCGTGTACATAAATATAGTAAATATTTCATGAGAGGGTTTCTCTTCTCTTCTCTTCTCCTCGCTTGTTTCTCTCTCTCCCCCTTTAACAGTAATGATTTTCTCGTTACGGGCATCGTTGTTAAGGAATCTGAGGAGTTGTGGTTGTGAAAAAGTGGCAGATAAAGCATTAGAAAAGCCACTAGTAGAAGAACAAGAGCAAGAAGAAGAAAAACGGACAGAAACATAGATAGGCACACGAGTGTTTTGTGCGCGTAGAAAAGAAAGAGTGCTTGTTTTGTTGATTGATGCGATCATCATCAAAACAAACGGCTCTTTCTGGCTTTTTTTTAATACCCTTCTCTTCCTATTTCCCTCTTTATTTGGTCTTTCTTGGGGGTGGTTGATTTTTGCTCTGGTAACGAGTGTTTTGTTGATTGAAGGGTAGTTCGTTTATTGAAGTTCTCTTTTTTCCACCTTGTTTTGTTTGGTGCTTTTTTTTTTTGTATTGGTTCTACTGTGTACAATTTTTTGTATCATCATGGCTCAAAATAGGCCGTTTCAGATGGCCGTGGGTGGTGGCAATTCGAGGCACTACAATGACACGACTTTTACCAAAATCTTTGTTGGTGGTTTGGCCTGGGAGACACAGAGAGACACCATGAGGCGTTATTTTGAACAGTTTGGAGAGATCCTGGAGGCTGTTGTTATCACAGATAAGAACACGGGAAGATCCAAGGGCTATGGCTTTGTAAGCCCATTATTTTTTATATCCTTTGCAAGGGGCATATTTTTCCTTTTTTCCTCGCACTGCATGATTTGTTTATGACGGTGGGTCTTCGTCCTTGCTTCTTACAGGTTACATTCCAGGATCCGGAGGCAGCCGTGAGAGCTTGTCAAAACCCATCGCCAGTGATAGATGGAAGGAGGGCAAACTGCAATCTTGCGTCACTTGGTGGCCAAAGGAATCGTCCACCAACTCCTCAACATGGTTCATTTCTCTCTTCTCTGTCATCACTTTTCCATTTCTTGCCAAGTACATGGTAGAATACTTTGCCAATCTCAATAAATATCCACTTTCTACGCAAAAGTTAATAATCCCTTGAATATTCAACCAGCATTGTGCAGCGAAACTACGCGAAAAAAGGGGGCCAATGCCCTTTTGTCTTTCATTCCAAAAACATGTAAAGATTCCAGGTTTTTAACCAACCGTGGCAAGTTAGCTATAAAATGCTTATAATTACTCTATTCGTCTTCTAGCAAAACTGAAATGTGGATATATATCCACTGAACAAGAGGATCAAAGTATTTACTTTAGAACAAAAATGAAATCGCAGGCACAGGACGGTTTAGACCAGTACATGGATTAGTGGCTCCACCTACTTTTCCTGGTTCCTCGGCTCCATACATCCACCAACCCTCTGGTCAATACTCATTTCCTTATTCAGCTTATGGGTAAGTAAAAACAGTAACAGAGATAAATCACAAGGGGATTTTTCATCAATTGCCCTCCCTTCTAATATGCCTTCAATTCCTTGTTCATTTTTATCACATAAATTCTCCCTCTTCTTCTGTCATCTCACAGGTACGCTGGATATTCACAGGATGCCATGTATCCCTTGGTCAGTGTTGGCATGATATACTTGCATGAATATTGAATGTCTTGTGCTTCTAATTTTATCTGCGTTGTTTGACCACAGTTTTATGGCCTTGTTTGCAGAGCTATTACGGTGTTTACGGAGGACAACAATTCTCACCTTACTATACTACTGGAGGGGCATCAGGAACACCAGGGATGTTCCCACACAATCCCTACCCATTCTATACTCAGTATGCACAGAGTAGCCAAGCACATGGTTTTGGAATTCAATATCCCCAAATGGTACAGTACCCTTATTTACCTCAACAACATGGATCCACGGGAACCTTATCACTTCCTTCTTCTATTGCAATGGCGACCACTACTGCAGGTGATCACTCTAATAATTTCCCTAACTTCATTCATGCAGCAAATTTATTCATTTTATGCTTTACTTAACGACGAAAGGCAAATGACAGGATAATTTGAATGTAATTTTGCAACAGGGGCAGCAGCCACAATGACAACGACTACGACTACAACAGCAACAGCAACAGCAGTGGCAGCACCAACAGCAACTACAGTGGTGGTGGGAACAGGACCAGGTGCTTTGCAAGCCTCTGGAGCAGCTACTGAACAAAATTCATCAACCGAATAAGTTTGGAACGTCATTCATTGTCCTCTCACAAGACGGACAACATCCACAAATCGCGGACCTAGAAAAAATGATTGGAAAAAAAAAGAATAAGGAAAATATTCTTTCAAGTCACTGATTGAAAAGGAGGATTATGCCTGATCATCAGCTAGCATAGCAATAGAAGGATCCAAGAATTCAGCATAAGATTGTTCCATTTCATGGAAAAAGGCATCTGAGATACAAAAGCCTCACTCCACTAACTCTTTTTTATTATTTAGGGCCCCCCCAATATTATCAACTTCATCGTTATACATGTTCCGTCTAGGACACTGGGGAGGCTCCAGTAGTTGTTAACATTAATTAGGAGGAGAGATCATATTCATTTTATGTATTAGCATAAGGTGGATCCAATATTGGCTTTGGATTCTACCCCGGATACTAATCAGCAGATTGTTATGTCTTGGAAGCAGAGAGCATCCGACAGCATACTCTTGTTTATATTCGGCAGTAATCAGGGTTTGAAGATTGGTTTTATATCTTTGAACCCATCTTGGTCAACAAGAAAGTTGGGCTAAGAACAACTCGGTCATTAACTTGTACTTTTTTTGCTTGTTAATTACTCATGATTGATTACTTTTTTATAATAGGATCAGAACATTAGTAGGGGAAAGTGGATTGTGCCTCTCCCTCTCTCGCCCCCCCCCCCCCCTCTCTT